TATATATATATATATATATATATATATATATATATATATATTTATATTTATATATATTTATATATTTATATATATATATATATATATATATATATATATATATATATATATATATATATATATATATATATATATATATATATATATATATATATATATATATATATATATATATATATATATATATATATATATATATATATATATATATATATATATATATATATATATATATATATATATATATATATATATATATATATATATATATATATATATATATATATATATATATATATATATATATATATATATATATATATATATAAATTCTTATATATATTTTTTGTAAATTCTTAGTGTTGTTCTTCGCTGTTGTAATGAGTACGTACATTAGGAGTGTCAAAATAAATTGTTTCTTCGGTGCACCGTGATTCACACGCGGACAATTAGGTATCAGTTGAGTAATAATCATAAACCGTTATTATTTACTGATGTCATTTATCTTATATGCGCTATGTCGACGTATCTTACTATGGCGAGGTAAGCGAGCATGACTATATACAACGCTCCAACTACTTAAAAACGCAGAAGCTGCACAATTTCACTGTGTGTGTGTTTGCTGGACAGCCTTTCACTGACACTTACAGCAGAAGCCCCTATTTCACTGCGATTGAGAGAATGAAAGTAAACTCAATTTCTCTCTCTCTCACTGTGGCCCATTTGACCTGCTGGTGTGACTTTTCCTTTCCTCTCGGCTGTTGCAGCGATACTTCTGGATACAAACACGAGCACATATCTGCAGCGTTTTCTCCACCGTGTCTATCATGGATCAGCTGTGATCGCCGCTGCCATTATCAGTGTCACTCATCTGTGAAGAGCTCCAGCTTGTAAAAGCCAATCGCAGCCCTTTCTGTTAAGCGCGTGACCAATCAAAAGGATGTAAGAGAACTTGGTAGACAAGGATCAGAAAGCGAGCAGGATAGTTATATTTGTTTATTTGCTATAAATGCTTGTGTTGTTTAAAGGTACCGTTTATATGTCTGACAGTTTGTCTTAAAGGACAAAAATGTATTA